CGTGAAAATTTCTTATCGATTCAGTATAATTTCGCCCATGTGCATGTACAGTTCAGTGATGTTTTGCAGTGTGAAAACTGCTGTTCAAACACAGCAACTCCAATGGCATTCAATTTACGAAGAGTGCCATGTGTGCTGGTCATTCTCGATGGATAGTTCGTTGTTGAATGACAACCAAGTTGAGTAACGGTCTCCAGTTAAAAGACAACGAAAGTTCAAAAGATCACTTTCCACTGCATCGTAATGAGCGATGATACGGCGCGATTAATGTTTGCCTTGCTACTGAACCTCCCAGTTAAGGGATAGAACACGATGATTACTTTCGAACGACGTGTCACAACAATCGGGATACGCGGTGAAATATGAGGTAAGAAGGTCAAACACAAACAATATGTAAGTTACGATGTTGTTGAGTAAAGTTGGAGTGGTCTTGAAGTAGTCAAGCGATTAGAACACACTCAGCAAAACCAGGTGTGAGTCAGGGCTTGCTGTTCGACTCAGATGACTAATTTTTGACGCAAGCACTTCTAGAAGATCGCCGTTGCTTTATGTCTGATTGGAGTTCTATTAACGTCCAGTTGTCTTCTTCTTAACTTGTTTATTTTAGCTCATCTCTGGCAAGCGTGTCAGCACAGTCCGCATTTATTGGCCACTTTTTTGTATAGGCGCCTTTGAGATGTTCACAAACTGGGCCAACTCTGTTTTGTATAGGCGCTTTTGAGATGTTCACAAACTGGGCCAACTCTGTCATTTCGATTTTCACTTTTTACAGAAATCTTTAAACAAGTCAACTCACACCCACATCTGTTCAGTATCCCTTCACTGCCGAAGCAAACTCCTGTAAAGATCTCCACCGAATCACGCAACAAACGGCCCTGCGGTTGCTGCATTTTATGACAAGAAGATGTTAAATGGCATCTAACGAAGCCAAATACAGAGTGATCAACTCCAGGCCACTTCACTGATTTCCCATTACAGATTTGACTGATTTCAGACCAGGATTTCTCTTTGGCAGAATAATCACAAGTTTCCCTCACAATTGTAAAAGTGCTCCTGAATGCACAAGATTATGAAGGTTGATTCCTTACTTCTAAACCATGTTGCTGCTCTTTGGGCGATTGAATTATCATTTTGTTATTTCAGGAGGATCGAAAATGGCTGAATCCTCAACTTAAGCCGGAAAATTCTCCAATCACTCGGTTATTCATCAAAATCTATTGCACATTTCACAACCTAAAAAGAAATCGATAAACTGTTCACTTGTTCGGATGACGAATATTAACTTGAGTTCACAAGGCCTAGGCTGAGCATCGTTCAAATGTCACATTACTCGATGTGGAAAACACTAAACCATCGAAAAAGCGAATTTTATGAAAATTTCGGAAGATAGTACCGACTTGTGACTCGTTTGGCTTTGGAAGTTTGAAGACTTAGCACTCCATTTGAGAGTGAACTGGATAAAATCGTGTGCATAGGCCAGGGCATTCATTTGATTGGGCTTTAGGAAGGATAGCAAGTGACATTACTCAAATATCAGACGTCCTACTAAAAGGTAGCACTAGAACAACAGTTTCTTGATCTTTAGCGAAATTTAACTTTTAGATGAAGATATCTGCTAAGATGCATGTAGAAAGACCTTTGCAATTAAATTTTGGGCAGAATTGTCTTCATCTACCCTTGGGCTGACCACAGAAATGCTAAAGGTTCATTTCAAAAAGATCACTCAACGCAGGTGACTTTTGCGAGCACCACTGTCCGACTGATGAAAAAAGTTAGCACGGTTGTGTCTATTGTTCTCTGCGACTTCCAACTCATTTGGCTTCATCGATCTGAGGTATACACTTGGCAGAGTTAAGTAAATGAAAGCGGCCATCGAGTGATTATTTTGGGCAGAATTGTCTTCATCTATCCTTGGGCTGACCACAGAAATGCTAAAGGTTCATTTCAAAAAGATCACTCAACGCAGGTGACTTTTGCGAGCACCACTGTCCGACTGATGAAAAAAGTTAGC